AGCCACCCTCCCTTACATCTGGATCCCCACTAGAATCTCCTCCTACATTAGAGTCTCTAGTAGAGTCCCTTACATCGATGATCCCAGCAGAGTCTCCTCTTACATCAGAGTCCCCATCAGAATTCAGCCTTACATAAGCATCCCTATCAGACTCCCCTCTCCCCTCCACAATAGGGTACTTATCATGTCCCTTTTTTCATCCAAGCCCCCGTCAGAGTCCCCCCATACATCAACCTTATATAAGCATCCCTATCAGACCCCTCCCCCATTAGTGTACCTATCAGGTCCCTTTTCGCATGCAAGTCCCCATTACAGCCCCCCCCCCCCATACATCAGTGTTCCCATCAAAGCCTCCCTGGATATCAGGGTCCACATCAGTGCCCCCCTCCTTTTACATAAAAATCCCAATCAGAGCCCCCTCCCATTACATCAGAGTTCCTAGTAGAGCCCCCCCCCCATACATTAGAGTCTCCCTCCCTTACATCCAGGTTCCCATCAGAGTCTCCTCTTACATCAGAGTACCCATCAGATTTCAGCCTTACATAAGCATCCCTATCAGACCCCTCCCCCATTAGTGTACCTATCAAGCCCCTTTTTGCATCCAGGCCCCCATCACAGTCCCCCCATACATCAGTGTTCCCATCAAAGCCACCCTGGATATCAAGGTCCACATCAGTGCCCCCCCCATTACAAGATAATCCCCATCAGAGCCCCTCAGTCACTACAACAGAGTCCCCATCAAGGTCCCTATTATATCAGAGTTCACCTTACATCAGAGTCCCCCATTACATCTGTTGCCCATTAGTGTCCCTTCTTACATGTGTGTCCCCATCAAAGCCCCCCTTTACAACAGAGTTCCCACCCCCCCCCTTACAAGAGAGTCCCCATCAGAGCCCCCCTTTACATTAAAGTCCCATCAGAGTTCTTCCTTATATCAGAGTCTCCATCAGGGTCATCCTTTACATCATAGACCCTCCCTTACATCAGAGTCCTCATCAAGGTCCCTATTATATCTAAGTTCACCTTACATCAGAGTCCCCCTTTACATCTGGTGCCCATTAGAGTCCCTTCTTACATGTGGGTCCCCATCAAAGCCTCCCTTTACAATAGAGTTCCCATCATATCCCCCCTTACTACAGAGTCCCCATCAGAGTTCTTCCTTATATCAGAGTCCCCATCAGGGTCACCCCTTACATCAGAGTCCCCATCAGGGTCACCCCTTACATCAGAGCAGGGGTGGACTGACCTGGTCAGTAGGGGGCCCCATGAGACCATCCTAAGACAGCCGGCTTCACTTCGCCATCAGAGCTGAAATGCTTTCCTCCCAAGGAAATCTTTTAGGGGTCCAAACAGTTGGAAATCACTTGTAGTGAAGTCCGAGCTGTAAGCGGGATGGGCAGAGGCGGACTGACCATTTGGAAACTCGGACACTGCCCGAGGGCCCGGGGGTCAGTAGGGGGCCCCATGAGATGCCCCTGGTACCTTTTTCATTGGCTTTTTTGAGTTTGGGCAAGGACACAGGGGCCCCATGATCCCCTATTGCCCGGGGGCCCCATGAGTTGTCAGTCCGCCCCTGCATCAGAGTCCCCATCAAGGTCCCTATTATATCAGAGTTCACCTTACATCAGAGTCCCCCCTTACATCTGGTGCCCTTTAGAGTTCCTTCTTTTACATGTGGACCTTGGGCCACAGTTTGGAGACCCCTGTTCCATGGAAAAAGAAAGTAGGTCAATAAAATTTTATTTCATGATTGCAAAAAATTCAATATTTGGAATATTTAATGAGACAAGATTGACAGGTCTGTAGATGTTGCAATTGATGAACAAGTACCGGTGACAACCACAGGAGGTCATTCTCTGACTAGCAGAGTGAAGAAGAGACAGACACTCAGACACAAAGCAGGGAAGATGACAGGATTTATACATTGCACTCCTTGTACAGACTCAGAGAGGCATCCGGCTGTGTCTGCAAAACTGTACAGAAAGTGTTGGGAGTATAGTACCATCCAGACAAGTACAATAATCTGTGAAACACACAGGATACACAATATATGTTACTGGCTTGGAGCTCCCAACTACAGAAAAAAATAAAACAAGGTACCCCTAATGCTTAAAATGTATCTAAACCCACGAAATGTAATACATCGCAGCTTAGCAATCCTTAGATATGATGGCTGCTTTAGTTTTCTTTTTTTTATTATTTTTTATTATTGTTAAATTTTATTATTATTACTATTATTATATTATTACTATTATTATTATTATTATTATATATATTATTTTTATTATATTTTAAATTTATTTTTATTTCTACTATTATTATTTTTATTTTTAATTATATTTATTATTATTATAAATTATTTTATTAAATATAAATATTATATTTATTATTATTATTATTAAATTACTTTATTATTACTAATATTTATTATTTACTAATTACTATTATTATTATTATTACTATTACTATTATTATTATTTTTACTATTATTATTATAATATTATTTAAATATTATTATACTATTATTATAGGGGCCAACCATAGAAAAAAAAGTTTTAATCCTATACCCACAGTTGATCCAGAGGAAGGCAAAAAAAAAAGCAAAGCACGATCCAATTTGCTCCTGGTAGGAAAAAAATTACTTCTTGATCCCCCGAGAGGCAATCAGATACTCCCTGGATCTGGTTTTGCCACGATTAACTATGCTTTCCCCGTTTTTTTTTTCCAAATTTGCACTTTTTTTTTTTTTTTTTAACCGAAAAAATATTTTTTTTTGGTAAAAAAAAGTCCAAAAATGCTGGTTTTGGCCACATTTTACCACATTTTGCCTGTGTTTTTCTGTGTTTTTCAATCAGATTTTTAGAGCATTTTTACAGCTATCAAACCAAAACAATTTGCATACTTTTTAAAGGGTATTTTTTTAAGCCAAAAAAATATTTTTTTGAAACCTACTTGTTTTGGCATTTTTTCCAGCCAAAAAACTCTAGAAAACCAATTACTTGTTTTGGCTGCCAAAAAAAAAAAAAAAACGCTGATTAAAGCCTATGTGTGTATGGACACATAGGATAACATGCTGGAGGGTTTTCTGGCTGTAGAAAAAACCATCAAAAGCCAAAACCAGCCGCTGTAAAAAACGTCCGTGTGCATGAGGGCTACTAGTTAGAAGCAGGATAGGCCCTTGCCACTTGCCCGCCAGAAGATTTCCCCCCCCCCCCTTCCTGACCAGGCCATTTTTTGCAATACGGTGCTACATTACTTAAAACTTGACAATTAACTGACAATTGCACGGTCATCCAACGCTGCACCAAATGAAATTTATGTCCTTTTTTTCCCTACAAATAGAGATTTCTTTCGGTGGTATTTGATCGCCTGTGAGTTTTTTTTCTAATTTTTTGTGCTATAAACAAAAAAAAGACCAACAATTTTGAAAAAAAAAAAAAATTTTTTTTTTGCTTTTTGCTATTAAACATGTGCAGGAAAAAAAAAAAAAAAAAATCAAATTGCGTCATCAATTTAGGCCAAAATGTATTCTGCTCCATGTCTTTGCAAAGAAAAATGCCAATACGTGAAAATTAATTGGTTTAGGTGAAAGTTATAGCGTCTACAAATGGCGATATATATACTGGAAATTTTTTTTATATACTAGTAATGGCGGTGATCAGCGACATAGAGCGGGACTGCGTCGGGCATTCTGACACTAAGGGGAACTTACTGTCACTGATATCCCCAGTGACACTAATACAGTGATCAGTGCTAATAAAAAGCACTGACATTGTACTCATGGCACTGGGCAGAAAGGGGTTAACATGAGGGGCGATCAAAGGGTTAACTGTGTGCTGTGTGCCATTTATAACTGTGTGCTGTGTGTTTTACTATGGTGTGCTTCTCTGTAAGCACACTGCTTTCTATGGCTCTGCTATGCAGGCGCTGACAGGGTAGAGATCTGTATTGTTTACATACAGGTCTCTCCCCTGTTGGAAATCCTCTGAGATTGCCGGGTGCCAGCTGGGAATCACCGGTCGGGACCCGGCGATTGACAGCCAAATGGCGGCGTGGGTAGGGTGTGCGCACTTCTTCTACCCAGAGCTGCAAAATCGCATATAGAAATACTGCTACAGGACGGTGCGGTAGCAATTAAAGAGAAATGTCTTCAGGGATCGTCTAAAGGTGGATAGATTAGGAGAAAGTCAGATAGATTTGGGGTAGGGAGTTCCATAGGATGGGAGAGGCTCAGGAGAAGTCCCGGAGGGAGGTGACAGGGGATCTAGAGAGCAGAAGGTCTTGGGAGGATCGAAGAGACCGGTTTGGTCGGTATTTTGAGACCCCGGGTTGATGATTGTAGCTGGGGGCAGAGTTGTGGATGGCTTTGTAAGTTGTTGTTAGTATTTTCATTTTATTTGTTGGGTGAGTGAAAGCCAGTGCAGGGATTGGCAGAGAGGGGTAGCAGGCACTGATTGGAGTCAGTGAGGGATTGGCAGAGAGGGGTGGCAGGCACTGATTGGAGGTCAGTCAGTGGAGGGATTGGCAGAGAGGGGTGGCAGGCACTGATTGGAGGTCAGTGGAGGGATTGGCAGAGAGGGGTGGCAGACACTGATTGGAGGTCAGTGGGAGGGAATTGGCAGAGAGGGGTGGCAGACACTGATTGGAGGTCAGTGGAGGGATTGGCAGAGAGGGGTGGCAGACACTGATTGGAGGTCAGTGGAGGGATTGGCAGAGAGGGGTAGCAGACACTGATTGGAGGTCAGTGGAGGGATTGGCAGAGAGGGGTAGCAGACACTGATTGGAGGTCAGTGGAGGGATTGGCAGAGAGGGGTAGCAGGCACTGATTGGAGGTCAGTGGAGGGATTGGCAGAGTGGGGTAGCAGACACTGATTGGAGGTCAGTGGAGGGATTGGCAGAGAGGGGTAGCAGACACTGATTGGAGATCAGTGGAAGGCTTGGCAGAGAGGGGTAGCAGACACTGATTGGAGGTCAGTGGAGGGATTGGCAGAGAGGGGTAGCAGACACTGATTGGAGATCAGTGGAAGGCTTGGCAGAGAGGGGTAGCAGACACTGATTGGAGGGTCCAGTGGAGGAATTGGCAGAGAGGGGTAGCAGACACTGATTGGAGGCCAGTGCAGGGATTGGCAGAGAGGGGTGGCAGACACTGATTGGAGGTCAGTGGAGGGATTGGCAGAGAGGGGTGGTAGACACTGAACGGTTGGTAAGGTGGATGAGCCTGGCTGCAGCATTCTTTATTTTCATCTTCTGATTCTGCAAATAACATACTTTCTGTCCAAGGGTGACAACGCTCACCATATTGTATCTAAGGAGGAGCAGCGTGGACACCCTAGGATGCTCTGCTGATCAGGACTACAAAACAACTCCTTTTCATGGGGAGGAGGGGTTTTGTAGTTCACAAAAGTTGGCCAGGAAATCTGGTTCAAATTTTATTTAAAAAGGGGAAGTTCTGCTTTACCAACTTGTCCCCAGCTCCCCGTTAAAGATCAGCACTTTTGGGAAGCGTGTACACTATTTTGACAGGTAACCACTCCCACTTCTGCTAAGACCGCCTTCCTGACTCCTTAGACTCACCTTACCTGCGCTCGCTTACAGCTTCTTGCTGCTCTGCAGCCAGTGCTGTGATTGGCTGTGTCTGCGGCCCGGGGAGCGGGGATGTGACTTGCTGACAGCTCAGTCACAGTGCTATGGGGGTGGAGTGAGCATGCTCCCAGCAAAGAACAGTGCTGCCGGCAGTGCACATACAGTACATGGGGGGGCACGGCCCACTGCTGTATAAACGTATGGTCAGCACTAACAAGCTAAAGAAAACCTTGAACTGATTGTGATGCTATTCTGAAAAATGCTAACTGCCTGGCTATCTCTGCCTTCAGTCATTTCAGAATCACTAACCCAGAACAAGCAGATTACAAAGATTGACTGGATCAGTGAAGTAGTGAAGATAATACACGGCTCAAAAACATGAAAGGAACACATAGAAAACCCATCAGATCTCAATGGGGACAAATCTCCTGCTGGATCTCTATCCTGACATGGACGGGGTAATGTGTTAAAAATGTAAGGATCAGGGGCGGACTGACAACTCATGGGGCCCCCGGGCAATAGGGGATCATGGGGCCCCTGTGTCCTTGCCCATTTCAAAAAAGCCTATGAAAAAGGTACCAGGGAACATCTCATGGGGCCCCCTACTGACCCCGGGCCCTCGGGCAGTGCCCGAGTTTCCAAATGGTCAGTCCGCCCCTGGTAAGGATGCCCCATCATTTGATGGAAATGAAAATGATCGACCTACAGAGGACTGAATTCAAACACACCCCCGAAAATCAAAGTGAAAAATGATGCAGCAGGCGAGTCCATTCTGCTGAAATGTCATTACAGCAACTCAGAATGGTCCTCAGTAGTTTGTATGACCCCCATCAGCTTGTATGCATGCCTGACAACGTCGGGGGAGGCTCCTAATGAGACGACGGATGGTGTCCCGGGGGATTTCCTCCCAGATCTGGACCAGGGCATCACTGAGCTCCTGGACAGTCTGAGGTGCAGCCTGGAGGCGTCGGATGGACTGAAACATGACATCCCAGAGGTGTTCTATTGGATTTAGGTCAGGTGCATACTGGGGGCCATTCAATGGTATCAATTCCTTCATCCTCCAGGAACTGCCTGCATACTGTGGCCGGACATGTCCTGCACCAGGATTAACCCAGGACCCACTGCACCAGGAGGAACCCAGGACCCACTGCACCAGCGTAGGGTCTGACAATGGGACCAAGGATTTCATCCCCATACCTAATGGCAGTCAGGGGGCCATTGTCTAGCCTGTAGATTTCTATGTGTCCCTCCATGGATATGCCTCCCCAGACCATCACTGACCCACCACCAAAACGGTCATGCTGAACGATGTTACAGGCAGCAGAACGTTCTCCATGGCTTCTCAAGACCCTTTCACGTCTGTCACATGTGCTCAGGGTGAACCTGCTCTCATCTGTGAAAAGCACAGGGTGCCAGTGGTGGACCTGCCAATTCTGGTGTTCAATGACAAATGCCAATCAAGCTCTATGGTGCCGAGCAGTGAGCACAGGGCCCACTAGAGGATGTCGGGCCCTCAGGCCACCCTCATGAAGTCTGTTTCTGATTGTTTGGTCAGAGACATTCACACCAGTGGCCTGCTGGAGGTCATGTTGTAGGGCTCTGGCAGTGCTCATCCTGTTCCTCCTTGCACACAGGAGCAGATATCGGTCCTGCTGATGGGTTAAGGACCTTCTATGGCCCTGTCCAGCTCTCCTAGAGTAACTGCCTGTCTCCTGGAATCTCCTCCATGCTCTTGAGACTGTGCTGGGAGACACAGCAAACCTTCTGGCAGTGGCACGTATTGATGTACCATCCTGGAGGAGCTGGACTGCCTGTGCAACCTCTGTAGGGTCCAGGTATCGCCTCATGCTACCAGTAGTGACACTGACCCTAGCCAAATGCAAAACAAGTGAAAAACAGTCAGAAAAGATGAGTAGGAAAAAAATGTCAGTGGCCTCCACCTGTAAAACCATTCCTGTTTTGGGGGTCATCTCATTGTTGCCCATCCAGTGCACCTGTTAATTTCATTAACACCAAAGCAGCTGAAACTGATGAACAACCCCCTCTGCTACTTAACTGACCAGATCAATATCACAGGAGTTTCATTGACTTGATGCTAGGCTCTGATTAAAAAGTGTTCCTTTCATTTTTTTGAGCAGTGTAGATCAGCATGGCAGCCAAATGAGCGGCATTTACAGAATTAGAGATCAGCAGTGATAGACTTTTATATTCTCCCAGGACAAGCAATGTACATAGCAGAGCCGCAGATCATCACTGCTGACCTCATGGATCAATACACTCTGACCCCCCCAGCCAAGGGTCTTTCAGGAAATCAGACAGAAACATGGAGCAGACTGAAACCTCACTAAGGAGAGATAGAACATAGATGTTATGTGGGAGATAAGGATTCTTATCTTTGGAAGAAAACATTTTATCCATCTTTTCTGCCCGGAGGTAAAACTGGCAGCACTTCAGGGGAAACCACTTTTTTAAGTGTCACTAAAGCCACGAAAGTAAAATCAGTCTGTATATGCAGTAAAGCATGCTTGTTATACTCACTGTGGAACCTAAGGGGATTAATCCTCCGCATTCTGTAAAAAGACTGTTTAATCCTGCCTTCTCTGCTCCTCCCCTTCTTCTACTGTCCCCAATCCATCTGCTGATAGTCCAGAGCACTAGGAGACACTTTGCACATGCTCAGTTTAGTGTGTATTGCTAGAGAGTTTTTTTTGGAAGGGTGCATGTGATCAGCACAAGACCAATCAGCACTGTGCAGTCAGAGGGTCAGGGGTTATGCAGCCTCATAGGACAGTCAGAGGAGAATGAAAACTCCTTCTTCAAGCTTTAAACCAGTGGACAATGGGTTTAGTAACACTTTAGGCTAGGTTCACACCTATGCATGCTGTGTTTGAGTTGTTTCTGCATTGCATTTTGTGTTGCGTTTTTGCACCTGCATTTTTGATGTGTTTTTGCTTTTTTTCTTGTTGCTAGGCAGATTTAAAACGCAAAATGCATTAAAAATGCATCACAAATGCAGCAAAAATGCATAAAAAACACACTACATGCTTTTCTGCAGAATTTCCATTGAGGTCTATAGAACCAAAAATGCTATTTTTTTGCGTTCCAAAAAGTCCCCCCCCGACTCTTTCCAAAAAACGCACCGGGTGGAAATGCAGAGATGTGAATCTGTCCCATAGGAGATCATGTTAAATGGACTGTAGAACCAAAAACGCATCCTTTTGCGTTCAAAAAAGTCCCTGACTCTTTCCAAAAAGCACACCAGGTGGAAATGCGGAGATGTGAATTTGTCCCATAGGAAATCATGTCCCATAGGAAATCATGTTAACCTCTTCACGCCGGCCGCCCACAAATGTGCGGCCTCCCGGGGTCTGGGCCTTGATGCTGAGCGGCTGCACATTTGTGTGCAATTAAAAAAAACATATGTGCTGAGAGCGCGCACACTGCACGCTCCCAGCACACATGTCCAGTACTCATGAAAAGGTCCCGATCTCCTCTTTCGATTGGGACCTTTTCAGATCATGTGACCACCATGATGGCAAATCACGGCTGTCACATGACCCTAAAACCTCACCCTGCCTCCCGGCTTCTGACACCCTTAAAGGGCCAGGAGGCGCCGGCGCCAAGGGGTTGAATGGACACTTATGCAGGCCATAGATGGGTCGGCTGATTTTCACACCGTTAATGGGTTAATTGGTTAGCCATTTTTCTGCATTTTGGCACATTTTTTTTAATCGGTAAAGTTAGAAAAAAATTGGCTGATTTTGCCGATCGATTTTTTTCTTGGCAATGATGGGCAAATCAGCCAATCTTTTTACGGATAAAAAATCTGTGCATGAGCCCTGACCTGCAAGAAAAAGAAGAAGAAAAAGAAGAAGAAGAAGAAGAAGAATTCCAGTCCGCTATTATATTTGACATGAAAATGTATTGTGGTTGCAACAATGTATCTATTTGTATCCGAATAAAAAACATCTGTATCCGAAATGGATACAAATGGATACATTGTTGCAACCACTATACTTTTTAATGTCAAATATAATAGCAGAGCTCTCTGCAGGGACAGAAGTAATTAAATGCCGGCCGTAGACGGGACAGGAATCGGCCAATTTTTTTTTACCATTGGTGGTAACTTCGGCCTATTGAACGACCGATTTTTTTTTTTTTTTTTTTTTTAAACGGCCGGTTTTCGACCCATCTATGACCTGTATTAGGCTGGTCATACATTATACAATTTTCTTGAGATTTTTGGTTTAGATTTACCAAAAAACCATATAATAGGAAGTCAAAACTAACAACACTTTCAATTGTATCCAGTTAGGAAGGCTCTTGCACTACATAGTTGAAGGTAAATTTAAAAATTGGGCAGAAATTGGACAGAAAATTGTAAAGTGTATGGCCAAACTTAGGTGCGAACCTAAGGTTAAGCAGGGCAGAACGACAGGATGTACTACATATTCCCTGTGTACTTCAATAGCTTTTTTGGGCATGTGTAGTACGTCCAGTGTCCACAAGTGGCTAGAGGACATGCTTTATTGGCTAACCTAAGCTCAATAGATGGTCTTTATACCTGTTTATTAATCT